TAAAGCGTGAGATCATTCAATTTGTAAATAAAAAATGAATGGACTGCGAAATCGGAATGTTTTGGTTGTGCAGAACCTAACTCTGCGTTTAATTGTCCTTTTGTAATTAATATTATATTGAATTAAATATATAATAAGTGAAAACCATTAGCAAAAATATTATTAGACCAATGTGTTATTAAAGATATTTAAAATTGCTGCTCAATTTGTTTCCACTTTAGAACAGATCTATTACAGATCTTGGTCAAATTACATAAGTTAAAACTATTTTATTATTTAGAATTTTCCATGTCATACATTCAACATTTAAGTACCTGCTTCCTGATAGTGCCATAGTTTAGACTTATTGTTTACCATAAAGATATATTATATTCTATAATAGTGCGGCTCTATCGCTGACGAACTGAATAGATTTGTCCATCTATGGATTTAATTTAATATAACAATAACAGAAATTTACCGAGGTAGACTTTCCAATTACATAAGACTTAGGTAGACTTTAATGATTAATTACTAAAGTCTTATGCAATTAGAATGGCATTAAACTTTAATGCAATTACAATTACACAAAAATAAAGTTTTAATAATTTAAGTTCGTCAGCAGAGCAAAATATTGTAACATTCTAAAGGACATCTTTGCGATTAGTAACTCGTTACGTCTTGTATAGTCAGCCTCATAAAATATATCAGTCTAACATAATATAGTACAATGATAACAATTTTTTTAAAACCATAAGTATTTAATTATATGCAACTTATGTAGGTACATGATTTTTTTATTAGTACTGCTCTTCTATTCTGTCAAGCACTTAATTACAAATTATTGTAATTAAATAACAAATATAGTATAAATATTCTTATCAACTGTAACTTAGTATGATAATACTAAGTTACAAGTTTCCAAAGTTGATAAGAATACTATTGATCACTCTTGATGGTTACCACAATATAACAACTACATAGAGTTGTTCTCACAATTAACCTAAGAGAAATGTCTCCTATCCCATCTTAATCATTTGTAGCATACAAATACAAATGCTATATCTTATCGACATTTGAATATCACACACGTGTCTAAATATCCCGAGATCGTAAAAAGATCAATGGATCAATCTCTACAAAGCTGACTATACAGGCTTGGTCCTAAGAAGTGTACCAAGCCGAAATCCAGGTAGAGTACTTATAAAACTGAACCATATTCGTTGAGACACAAAGTTTTAAATCCCAAAACATAATTTTTTACTTTTCATACAATCACGCAGTTCATATTAAGCTATTTTTTTCCATTATACGCCCTTGAGAAAATTGTTCTGTTTCAAAAAAACTATCAGTGGGTTTCGGCTTAGTAATCTAGTCTTTACGACTCAATTAATTATTTTATTAGTAATAGCGGAGTCGCAGTCACGACTGCAGTGCTAATATACGGACGAAAGTGAACGTTGTATATTTGAGTATTTGTGATTTCTTTGTTGGCTACCGTTGTTGTAGTACTTGCTGGTGCTTGGGGCTTGTAGGGTGCAACTTATTGAGCGCGGTCAGGGAACTTGCGCGCTTCATACTGATGGAAACAATATAATTATGTTAGGTAATTGAAGTACAATGTTTATGTTCTAGTTAGCAGGTTATCCATAATATATAAAAAATATATAATAAGTTAGTACAGATGTCAGGTTTATACCCAATATTATGTATGGGCGCGAATTCTGTTGTACCACAAAATAATTGGATACTTTGGATTGTTTCACATGCTAATAGCCTTCATCAATTACGGTTTCCTCGACTGTTTATATGAAAATTAGTGGTATCTGCTGATATTATAACTGTAGACTCGGAGTGACAGGACTGACCGATGTATAGATCTTTCAAACATAATAATAATTCGTTCACTATACTGGAAAAGCTTAATGTATATTATAGTTTTTTGATTCTGTAATACCACGCGGTAGCATTAAGCATAAAGCCTACTTAATTTACTGTTGGATTTACTCACAAAGTATTTTTTGTATTGAAAATGAATTCATCTTGTAACACACACCATGGTATAGGGACCTGACTATAACATTACAGATACAGATAAAATTTATCAGATGAGAGACAATTCTTAGCGTATTTATTTTAATACAAACAGGAGTGCATTATATAATTCTCGCAAGTCTTTGCAAGTCCACAACTATCCTGACTAGTATTCTACTACTCGGACGAACCTAGGCAACCCTAGTGGTACAACCGAATTAACTAACACCGATAATAAATAAATAAAAAATACTACTATAATAAATGAAGAAAATATGAATATATGAAAAAAATACACTTATTACCTTTATAATAGAAATCAAACTTCTATGCATAAAATTGACGTCTTCTTTGCTGGAGAATGACACGACAAAGCTATAGGGCAACTACTTATCACACTACACCACAATTTAAATTTAAATATAATACACGAAATATTGCAAATTAATTAGCCATCTTACAGCAATCAAGCAAACTAAGAGATTAATACACAATATTAATTATTGCAGCTTAAGATTATATGTATATTACACCTATGCAGCGTAGTGTTACCACTAAGGTACATACAGAGTGCAAGCTTGAAAAGTGAGTGTCGTGGAAAGTCACAAATAACATGAAATATATTACAAATATCTATTCCATACTGCATAAACTTTACAATGTTAACAGTAGATTGTTTGTATACGTCGTATTTTTATGCAACGATTAGAACTTTCCAGAATAAGCACTGGCTGCAAAAGCTTTCTCTCTGTATTCAGGTCAATCATAATATACCAAGCCGAAAGATAGAACACTAATTCACCTAAAAATAAATTGAAAACTCTTTAGACAAAATTGATCACGTGACCACGCGGTCTTTAGGAGTTTCTTTCATGCATTTTGCTATTTTGGTAAACTTGTTTAGTATCATGAAACTACAATTGACTTTCGGCTTGGTGTAAGTTTAACGACTAACCCTATGTGTGTAACCTTATGTGGTGTTACGGTCGTGGCCCTAGTTTTACCTTTCGGGGTCAGTGTAGTCTACATCAGGGGGCAGGTTAGCCGAGTGGCGACCCGCGATCCGATTGAATAGTCGCACCGAAGACCGCCTCAACGACTCTCGCAGTTTCGAGAAACTCGCACTGCGTGACACCTCGGCCGAGTCCTGCCGCGCCCGTGTTATGCAATTTACACTCCATTTTGTTTCAACTAAAAATCCATATTAAAAGGATTTGTGTTTTTTTTCTTTTATTTGGATTAACCAAATTAAATATATACTTAATTGTATGTCTGATTAAATGTATAGTCGGTAACAAAGTTAAACCAAAGTTTACGAAAAATTAATTAACAACATGCAAGTTTTTTTTGAGATGTGGAGTCAATCATTGTTATAATTATTTATCTACCTTGCTGACACTTATGTTATTTGAGTAAATGTTCTGGACTTCATAAAGACTGATAACAGAAAGAAACTATGATTCCGGAAATAGAACCAAATATAAATAAACTTATCTAATAACTAACACTTAGAATGCCAGTGATTATGAAATTAAAAAAACAATTAGTGTTTGTGGATGAAGACGAGATGCGGTCATGCATCTACAAATGTCTAACAGCGAAAGCCGTCAAATGTAACAAAATGAATTGCTTTTTGGAGTGTATTTCAATGATATTTTGAGCGTTTTCTCGTGATTGTTCATGATAATGTGTAACCGTTCATTATATGAAACATAATAACTACATATTGTTAAAGTGGGCTATAAATTGCATAACACTGTAGACTCACCTTTATGTATCGATAACAAATTATTGAAATAAAAGAAACCAATGAAACGAAATGTGTTATATAAATATTTATTAACAATTATTAAAATTATAATTCGACGCGATTTTACGAGACAATAAAAAGAATTGAAATTTAACATATTGTGACAAGGGAAATTATTGTGTTCAAATGAGAGATTCTTTAATATATATATTATATTATTAAAACTGTTGAACGTCTCTGTATAAATATATTCTAGTGTACATTAGAAATAAAAAATCCACATTCACAAGCAGCACCCACGTACAGATATAAAAATCAATGTATATAAAAAAAATACTATAATATTTTATCACCTATATAGTCTCACATAAAGCTTAAACCGATATTATACACTAACATTGGAATGAAAGTTTATGTAAGCATAATTAATGTTACTGATAATGAACGATAAAATAATAAAACAATTAATTTAATTATTACTATAAAGAATCTACAGGCTAACTTTTGAACGAATCGAAATGAAATCGCACTGATGTCTAGTAGTTATTATATATAACATTTTTTCAATAAGGCTGATTTAAATTAAAATGTTGCAGTACTGTATACCACATAATACAAGGCCTTACTAACCAACTAATCAATAAATGCGTTTGAATTTTTAAATATAGTTTTGTTCTGTATTGTAAAACAGGATATAATAGATTGACGCGGTTAAACGTTACTAAAATCTTTTGATTCAGATTCCATTTCGTTTCAACCACGTTATAAGTTAACCTGCTGAAAAAATAGCAACAGACGCTCACAATTATATAACTGCATTCATGCATCGTTCTCTATAAAGAACATACAAATAATACAATAAAATTATAATATCAGCAAATTAAAATTTCAATTGTAAGCAAATAAAATCGTTGTTTAAAGCATGCGTGTAATTAAGTATATGAAATTATATACTATATATTCACTCGACACCTTAATAAATGCAATATTCAAAAAATCCTCAGAACATATTACATTTTATATAACCTATATTTTGTAAGTTCACAAAACACAAAGTTAACCAAAGAACTTAATACACGTGTAAATTACCACCTATTCGTACGCTTGTAGTTCACTGTAAAATGACATTGTAAGTAATGAATAGGTTTTTTTATTATATATTGACTGAAGATGATTTAATATATCACGCATATTAGTTATAAAAAATGTAATTACCTTTTTAAAATTTAAGATGTCATTGTATTTTAAAATAAAACTACACCGTCTACAAGATACATATCTTAACTGATCGTATTTAAAACAAGACGGCTCACATACTTGAGTAACATTCTTTCTCTATCACACTTGTTTTTTTTTTATTTTCATTATTGCCCTATCGCATGCTAATAAATAATACTTACGAAGCTATTAAAATCCTGCCACTTTGAATATTTAAAACTTATTGTTAAGTAATACAATAATAGGTTGTAGAATTAATTAGAATAGAACTTACATGTTAAAAATCATGAATTCAATAATTCAAAATGGCGGACAGTAATTACGAAACGCACGTGAGATCCCACAACACAATAGTGAGCAGATAGTTTGCGAGTTGGGATGAATAAAACGAGAATAACAAAGAAACCTTACTCATCCACACTCATGCTAAACATCCGAGGGATCATAAGCGTTTGCCACATAAAATTAAGCATGTTTTCAACGTTAAAATCAATATAGTTGTTTAAACAAATAAATGTAAATGGACTCTACTTATAAAATCATTTGATAAGTAATGATATTTGAAAAAAAAATGTGATAACATACTATACTTTATGTTGCAAAACCATTGCGCTGAGAGCAAGTGAGTAAACTTATAATTTATTTCTAAACGATAGCTCTTAATATTACTGGTGCGGCGCATTACTCCCCGTGTTGATCCCTAGAGCATTGAACAGCTTTGATTTTAAGTTCATGCGTGGCTCACTCGCTTGGTTTGAACCCTATGGCGGAAAAGGAAAATAAAAACAAAACAAAATTAAAATGGTGCAAATAATAATGGAATGTGGCGTGAATGTGTACTATATAATTTATAATAATAAAAAAATAAAAAAAACATTAAAAATAAAAATAAATATGATAATAAGTTTATTGCTAAAAACGATACGTATATTATATACAATAAATAACTAATATTTATATGTTATTTGACTTTGCGCGCTGCCACGTACCTAGTTACACAATGTGAGCTGAGAAAAAAAAACAATACCTTTTTTATTCGGGCAAATTACTGAGTTCAAAAAGGTTTATTCATATTAAAAATCAAACATTATAATGTTCTTAAATACAAATTCACTATAATAGGATGATAATGACTAAATGTAATATAAAAGCTTATTAATTGGTAATATGGTGCTCGTATACAGCAGAGTTGGTGTGAATGAACGTTAAACAGACACAATAGTGAAATCCTAAGCTAGGTGAAAGGAGGCAAGAGGCGGTGATCTGCATGAATCCTAACTTGGCTTAATGTGTGAATTAATATTTCAAATGACAGAACAACAACGAGTGATGAACAATCAAAAACAATCTTTGCAACTCGAGTGAAACATTCATGATTAATGGAAAAGTGTATCAAGAGTTTTATTACGATTTTAATATCTGTGTAGTATTGTTATATTATATTAATCAAATTTTAGCTACAAAGATATCAAATTACTAAGATATCTATATGTATAACTAGGATATAAACATCACAGTAATTTCCTATCGTTGTTATTAAAGCAGTCGCTTTAATAACAACGATAGGATGCAAAAAAAAATCATCCGAATTTACTTTTGACAAAATGTAAGCATCTCAGTTAAACTGATCGTAGCGATATATATTCGTGTATTTAATAATAGTTAATTATTTTTAATAAATTATAAGTTGTGTTACTTCCGTTAAATAATTATTTAGTATATAATAAAATTATAAAATATGTATTTAAACAACTAACACAGACACCAAGTGTTAATGAACCGAAGCACACTTTTCCAAATGTAAACCAGTAAGGCGACTAAGGTTATATTGTAAAAAGACAGAATAGTGTCTAGAGGCAAGAACTCAGTCGCCTTACCTGACGGACACAGAGACGGCAACAGGGCAATAGACGACAGAAGGCGACAAGAGATGGTGACTCTGGCAGACATGACAACCGCGCTATGTGAACATCCTAACCTCTGCAGCGTCGAGCTGCACGTCCCCCTCGCGTCCCTCGCGACCGGCCTGGCGTCCGCTTCGTCCCCGGGACTGCTTCACGATGTCCAACGCCTAATGAGAGTAATTCATAATACATTTAAGACCACTTCACACCCAAGTCTTGCAACGTCCGCAGTGATATTAACTTATTTTAACTGTAATTAAGAATTGAATAAATGACACATATTGCATACGTGTCAAGATTTCAGCATGAACGCTAATTAAAGCCAATCAATCTCATTCTAACCTAATAAATTCTACTTATCTTGTTCTATTTAAAGATATGAACATAATATTCCCACGATGGTCAGACAGTTTGATATAAAGAATTATTCTTAATTTGCCCGGTCTTAAAGTGCTTGACTCTTACATCCTTTAGGATAATGAGAAGTAACCTAAAACATATTACTATAAACTATCAAGTTGACTATATATTGTTATTTAAATTCGAAAGTTAAACGTATCCATCTTTTATATATTGTACTTCTACTGAACTGTAAATATTTGAATCTTCTTAAATCTTGTTGTCAAAACATTGTTAATCGTGTGGTAAATATCAAAATCGTGATAAGAGCTTTTGTATCGTGAACTTACTTGCTGAACGTGCTAGGCAGCGTGCAAATCAATGTATTATTCTTAATTATGTGCCCGAATAGCGTTCAATATAATCAAATATATAGGAAATTACATTATAAATATATATCTTTATAAAGATTGTGTTGGTGTGCATTTCAATAATAATAATGAAGCAAAAAATATTATAACTTACATAATTATTATTTATTAGTAAGTAATTTTCATAATTATAAGCCATGATATAAATATAATATTTACTTATATATGTATTATAATAGACACGTTACAAAGCAAATATTTATATTCGTTTCCATCTGACGGAAAAAATTACAGAGGGCGTAGTAGAATCCGTCCAGTTTGTTTGTAGCGCCTTTCTTAAATAATTAAAACCATGATGTAAGCTAACGTAAGAACGTTTTATACTATATATTAATCGATAACGATTAAAATGTGCAGCCAGTAGTTACATTACTTATGTCATATATGCATAAACTAGACAAAATGTCATAAAACATTTTAAAATAAAGCAGCCAACAGCAAAAAAGAAAAATCTTTGTAAGAAAAATACATATGCTTATATATATTGCTTTTATGTATTTCCCACCTCCTTTCGGCTACGCAAGGCGCAGTCTTCCAAAGTTTCAGCCGCTTCGTATTTGCCCTGACGCCGGTAGAGTGCGCCGAGGTTCTTTAGTGTTGTGGTCACAGTAGGCGAATCGACCTGTAATGACGAATAAAGAGCTATTCAAATACGCATATTCTGGACCAAAATTTGACTAAAAAATAATCATCCAGCGGCTGCATTGGATTATTTAATAGATAGCTTGCAGGACCTAAAACAAAGATTATAAAAAAACACAAACCTTTGCAGCTTTATGCCATCCGCCGTATTCCCCATATGGCGCATTCTCCTTCTGAAGGTGTTTATTCTCTTCTCTCTCTTCAGCCACTTGCCATATTGGCTTGTTATCGCCTGTCAATACAGTAAATACATTTAACAATGCTTAAAATAAAATTACATATTATAATCAGCAAGCGTAGTGCGCTTGAGCCAAGTCATCGTACTATAAAATACTTTAGAAACATGCAATTTTTTAAACTTTATATATAATTACATAAAGTATTAGATCCACAGACAATTTCCTATAGAGGTAAACTTAGTAGCATGTCCATTAATACTAAACATGGTTTAATCGCACTTATAATATAGGAAGTAACATAAGAAACCAACACCACCCGAGTATAGGTAAAGAAAACATTGATTGTGACACAAGTTGGGAAGGTGTGACACAAAGGGGCAGTACAACATCGATTATAGATTATAAAATAAAAATAAAATAGAAAAACATCACGGAAGAGAGTTTATTCCTTTCCTACCTGTGCCACACAATATCCAAACTTGTGTCACTCACCTAATAGTTATGGTATTTGTTAACAATTCACCCATCGCACCGACTGTGTAACAAAATTGTTTATGCTCAGATCATAAAAACAAATGCTTTTTACTTCATAATGCTATGTTATTATGAACTGAGGAGGTTAAATAATAAATCAAATGCATATTTTACAATAAATTTAATGATCAAAATAAATATATTCTACAATAGTAGTTACTGTTAAATATATAAATAAAATTCAGCGGTATTGTATATCAATTCAATATTTGGCATATAAAATTGACTTGGAACATTGCACATATTATTATATTCTACTCAGAAATGGTACTATTTATATAATACAAAACTAGATCTTAGAGCATTCAACACGTAATCGATTTTTATTTGCCAATTAGTAAAAACCAGTTTTCACTTATCCAGTAACTGTTTAGCAGCGAAGAATGATTGCTGTCTGTTATAACTAACAGACAGCAATCATTCTTGTGTCTGTGAGAATAATAAGGGTCTAGTTACTGTCGGTAATCTATTTGAACCATTTTTTTAATCTATAACTTTACCGCAGACGGTCTCACAGGACCAGTCACTCACTATGCCACTATGTAACCTTTAAGTTGAGAGTCAATACCTAAAATATCTTCGTTATTAATAAAATGTCTAGTATACCTATATTCTATAAATTTCTTTGAAGCTATTTTCTTATTGTTATATAAGACGAAAAAGTACTACAATAGTTAAAATTATTAATGTCCAGTGAAAACCAATTTTAAAGCTAATTATTTACAATATCTTTTACCGAAAAAGGAGCAAAACTAAAAAAAAAAGTATATAGAAAATTATTATTTAGTGTTGAATACTCTATCTAATTATTATAATATACTATCTATAAAAAGCGTCACAGGAAATAATATTCATATAAATCGCTCCACAACGCTACCAAGTCCCTTTCACATAAAAGGCATCTGAGCTCACTATATATATACATTTGTCAGCTTAAACATATGAAATTCAATTCATAGTTAAGCCGTTGTATAAATAAGGCAATGAACATCACTAACAACCACACAGCCGCGTTCAGATTACATCTAGTTCCTACCACTACAAATCTAGTTCTAGTTCTAAAAAGAGAGTCTGAAGTTGTCAGCTCGCATATATTTACGAAAATCGAGTGAAACGGTTACGATATTGCACAGTAACTATAATTATAATATTAACGTTCAATTAATTTAAATTTAATATTTAGTTTTAAATCACCTACATCGTGCCATAGTTACATCAGAAGGTGGAGTGCTCAGATTATAAATATATATAATTTTATAATTAAATGAACACTGAACGTCCCCAACTTTTACTTACTGTATCAATGTTATTTAACTACAAAAGTTTGTTATTTGCTTATTAATTTAGTATTTTATACGCGAATATATAGAGAATAGGCGTGGTAAATGTTGGAGCACTTGATATGACACAACAAACATATGAATAATATTATCTAAGGAAAAATAGTAGGAAAGAGGGGAAGAGGAAGACCAAGACACAGCTATGTTAACAGATCAGGAAAAAGTTGGAGTCATGTCGTATCATCAACTAAAAGATGGAAAATCGTAGAAAATGGCAAGGGCTCCACCGACAAGAGCGCGGCTCTTAATTTATGAATGAATAATATTTATTTAATATAGTACATATGTCAGATAGATATTTTACTCGACTTTTAAAGAAATTTGATAAACTATAAAGCAAACATATGTCACATTGGAGATATATAACAATGGTGTTAATACAAAATTTATTATTCATATTGTATACATGTATTAGGAATACCAAGCGGGTAGGAAACATGGTTAATGGATAATTAGCATTATTTTAGATATAAAAAATGGCCATGTAATATTAATAATTATAATAGTAATACCACAATTATCATCAGTTATAGTAAGACATTATACGAGTTATTTTCATTAGTTTAATTGTTACATGAAGTATCGTCGCCGTTTGTTATACAATAGAATATATACATTTTATATAATTAAAAAAGTCATGGCTTACCCATTTGATTAAGGCTTCTCTTTAATAAAAAAAATTGGCATCGGACGGCAAGTTTAGTCAGACTTGTTGAATAAAAACGTATTCGAAGACGTATATAAACAATATAATATAATAATATATAAATCAAACCGAAACCAAATGCATAAGAGCAAATATAAGTTTAAAACTTATTATAACTATAAAAATTATTATTATTTTGTTATAGGATTAACGATTATTTTACTTATATTATTAAAGAAAACATGCATCCAGTAAGCATTAATATAACATATATATATAAAGGGATTTGAGTGGAATAGATCATAGCGTTCAAATAAAAAATGTTACTCCTCTCAAATCGCATATCAATGTATAAAATAAACTCAGGTATAATAGGCAACAAAAATAAAGTTTATATAAGCATTTTAAGTAATGTAACCGTTAAGAGTTAGGTAATTAAAAATAATTATTACCAGTATTTCCGGTTTTATAAAATCTTATTATCAACTCCATATAATATTTTAATGAGTAGTCAAAGTTCATGTCAAACATGTTTGTAATAAATTTACCATGCATTTTTTTTTAATTTTGTTATTACTTTTCACTATCTACTATTTACAAAACCAACACTAATTTTTATAAACATCTAGCTAAATGTAAAAATATTCGAAATTAAACATTCCATAATATATTCGACAATAACATAGTTGCATTATCCATTATTGTTTACTGTTATGTAAAAACATTTTATACCAAATCACAAAAATGTGATATTATGCAGTGATATGTGACAGTATTATTTCTAGGATATCCATTTTGTGCTTTGGTCATATAAATTCCCTGTTCTGGTTAACTAATCCAAGTGAATGACAAATATTAAATTAGAATCTGAATATGGAATTAGATCCGCGGCCTAGCATGTGTAGATACAGAAATAATTTGTTATCTTCCTGAATCCACAATTACATGAAGAATAAAATTTACAGCAAATATCGTATACATTCCACATTTCCATAAATATAGAAAAAATAGTCATTATTACATTGAAATCAATATAATGTATGAATACTATTTGTGTTGTATAAGATGCGATTATATTTGGTTTCACTATCCAAACTGCTAATGCCTGCTCAATGGTAACACATATCCGCTTTAAATTGGATATATACAATATGAGTTGATATTTATGAAACAAATATATACAATTATTAAATAAATAATATTCATATTAATTATTGATACTTTGTACCCTACAATGTAAACTATTAAAAGTACAGTAAAATCGTTAACTTTGTATATAAAATATTTGTCATTCATATATTTATTTAACATATGGACCGATTTCACGTTTCAATAAACAGCAGGCTTAATTCGTAAAATAAACTATTACATAGGAATGTTCTTGACTCTGGTCCGAGAATAGGAACAAATACACAGAAATTAAATATATGTTATTAAACTGAGATCTAATATATCTTCTTAACCTTAAATATGTCATTGTTTATAAACAGTTACATAAAAGATGCGGGGTGATTGTTATTTTTTGGGCTTTTTTAATGACGCTATATACTCTGAAATGGTAAACAGAAACAAATAAGTTATTCATTAAACTAAAAATAACAAACAAATATAATTATAACATACTATAATTTGTACAAGTTACAGTGTTCCACAAATGTGTTTTTAGGTTGTTATTATAATTAAAAAATTTTAAATACCAATCCCGTAACAATATTTGTACATTTTCCATAGTTCATGCCTTGGAAACTATTACAATATCATATTTAAGATAATGTTTTAAGGATCAAGACAAAATAAAAATGATCTCACAAGTATAATAAAAAATATACACATAATATTTCTAATGTACATTGAAAATGTCTAAGTAATTATAAATGTCTAAATATGATTTTAATGTAAGATAATGTAATAGTCCCCTTAAGTATATAATAAATTGTATGGAGTAATGGTAGTAATTACTTACCGTCGATAGTACCAAATTCCCTTTCATGTGCTCGTGTTAGAACCTGCTTGTATAGTGTTTCGGCCTCTTTGTACTTGCCCTGAAATAAGTAAATTACACTATTAGATATACGAAAATGGTATATCTAATCGTACATCTCTAGCAGTGTAAGGGAAGACATCTGTTTTTAAATAGTTAAAAACAGATGTTTTACTACTTTATTTTTAAAACGCAACGGATTTTGTTACGGTTTAGAGTACCATTTAGAGAATATCTGAAATTCTCTAAGCATTAGAGAATTATTATCCTTAAGTTATCCATTCTACGACAATATAGAATAAAAAGTATAAAAAAAATGTGTAACTCACAATAATGCACATCTCACAAAATACTACCAACAAAATTATATGCATTTCTTTCTTCCTTCTTTCATATGAACATTAATAAATGGCTACTTTCGGAATGTAAGTTCACATAATTATTCTGTCACATATATACTATTTAACAATTCACCTGTTTGAGATAGCAAGACGCCAAGTTGTTCTTCGTTTTAGCTACGTTGGGATCGTCGACGCCGAGTTTGTTTTCGTAAATCTCCAATGCACGTTGATAATATTGTTCCACTTCTTCATATTTGTTCTGTAGCATTAATGTGGAAATTTAATTAATGTTAATGTTCATTTGATTATAGACCAGATCAGACATTAATTATAGACGCTGTGTGAATTATCTATAATTATCATACAGCGTCGTTTAGTCCCAAGTTAAGCAGAGCTTGTATTATGAGTACTAGACTCATATCAATACATAGATACATTGTTTTTGTAAATACATACATAATATACATGGAAAACATTAAATCGATATGGACAATCATACTAATAAACTAAGGCGGTATGCTAAAAGCTAAACGACGGAGGCCGTTAATAAAATATAAATTCTAGTTACCAACTATTATTTTAAACCACCATCATAGATTCCTGATTAATTTCTCACGATGGGTTATTTGACCTGACCTTACACTCAACTGCTCATGCTCCACTGGCTTTTAAGACACACAATTTCATAATCTTCTATTAAATATACCTGATTCTGGCAGAGCAGCGCAAGATTGTTAAGTTGCTTGGCAACATCGGGGTGGTCGCGGCCCAGAACAGCTTCACGGATGCACAGCGCTCGCTTGCACAGAGGCTCCGCCTCGCGGTATTTGCCTGTACCACAAATATAATATATTATGTTCCCTAATGGACCCGCGTAACTTCGTCTGATCACACTTAATTGATAATCTATTAAAACTGCATTAAAATCCGTTGTGTAGTTTAAAAGATGTAAGCGACAGTGGAAGCGACTTCATTTTATACTATGTAAAGATAAAATAGTCGTCCAATTCATATATCTTTTTAAATTATAGCCTATGTGTCATTCTGATGTATATTACTGTAAAGTTTCATTAAAATCAATTAAAATCCATATTCACAAACCTTCGCGTATTTTTATTATCCAAAGTGTATTTGTTTATTAAAAAAATAAACACTAAATAAATAACATGGTTATCGTTAAAATGAAGAAGTATATTAATATTAACCCCACATCTATCAAATACGAAAAAGTACTACTTTTGTTTTGAATTGCAAAGTGCTAACGGTTAACTTTGTATGAGGACAACAGTCTGCATGACATTAGACATAATAGGTCAATAATAGAATTAACTGACTATCGTTTATTTCGTTTAGTTCGGGATTACATTTAAAAAATCAGTACTAGAATTTATTTAATTGAAATCCACATTGCGATATGAGACTATAGAGAATTGACAGGTAACGAAAGATATAACGAAAGTATAGTTAAGAAAACTGAAATTTAGGAAAAAGATTTACTTAAAAACAATTCGGGAAGGATTGAAAAATTTTACTTAACGATATCATGCTTGTTAAGGCACGCTTGTAATTAGTTAATTATAAATTAGTCACCTCGTTTTCCATACAACACAGCAAGGTTATTGAGTGTGGCCGCAACCGCTGGATGGTTCTCTCCCAAAGTCTTCTCGCGAATTGACAGCGCATCGTTTAGGAGATTCGCGGCCTCCTTGTATTTATTTTGATCTCTGCAAATATAAAATAGTATATTTATCATAACATTCACTTAATTTATGCAATGATAATGATTTTTAAGAAAAAAATAATTGTAATTACAAAACAAAGTAATTTCATTGTTTTTAATCATCGTGAAAGTTACACACCTACTTACACATTATTTCAATTACGGTATATCCTTATAGCCCTAATCGACTAAGAAAACTTCACTTAATAAACAAAATGGTAGTCTATTCTAAAAGTAAAACGCACAAATAGAATAGATAAATCTTTCTAGAGGTCAAATTGTGTACGGAAGATTTTGAATAGACAATCATATTTATCAATCTCATTATTTGTAATTGGGATAATAATACATCACAATCATACTGATTCTATACTTATAAATTAAAATACAAATCACTATCACTAAAATGATTATTTTAAAATTTTTGACATTTCAACATTACATTGTGTTACCTACTCACTACTAGTTATACCAAACAGTGTTAGATAAGCTCACTTTGTCTATATTTGTTGTATACGTATTTCAAGTGTAATCCTTACTAATATTATAAATGTGAAAGTAACTCTGTCTGTCTGTCGCGCTGTCACGCCAAAATTACTGAACCTATTTAAGTGTAAATTAGTACACAGATAGTCAGTACCCTAAGAAAGGACATAGGCTACTCTTTATAGCGAAATAAGGATTGTAAGGGGTTGAAAGTATTGTAAGTAGTTATATGGAAGTATCATCATTTTTAAAGATAGATGTTTGAAACTTGTTTTTTAGGCTTTTGGATAAATATAAATAAATATGACATACAAAGGAAAATGGAAATTTGTTATTTGTCATATATTCCATACCCATGAAGTCGCGGGCACAACTAGTAAAGAAAATATACAAAGTTAATCTTATTAACAAAATATCTACCTGTACACCAGAGCGAGAATATTCAACATAGTGGCGACATCCGGGTGATCGTGTCCAGATGTTTTCTCCAGATCTTCTAGGGCTTGTTTGCAAAGTGGTACGGCGACTTCGTACCGACCCTGGGACGCGTACTGGATCACCAGGTTATGAAGTGTACGAAGACGTGCCGGAATTTCATACCCAGCGTTGACTTGCTGGGCAAACTGCGACTGTGGAGTCGGTGACATTGCTGCAAATAATAAATTGACATCATCATTATTGACTTTCTTTTATTATAATATATATATATATATATATATATATATATATATATATATATATATATATAAATACACAATTTACCGTTATTTCGTATAAAAAGGTTCAAACGGACAGCTGATTATTTTTTTATATATATAATATAAATTTTTATCTAAGTATAATATTGATTTGTTAAGATAGATTATAGATATAATTTGATAAGATTTTTTTTGTTGTTTGTGAGGCAGTTACCCTCACAACTGCAGGTCACTAAGCTTCATAACACAACTTTTCTAAGGGAAGGAAATAATTGACAAAAAAGACTCTGACTTGCGGTATTACAGTAACTACGACAGTGGATCTAAGTGAATTGTCCACCGCAGCCGAATATTAGATTGAAACCATATCTATTATTATGTTAAGGTTAATCTGATTTGTTATCGATATTTCGAGAATCAGAAACAGTCAGTGATAAAATGAATACATTTTTTTTTATTCAAACTCACAACCATTGCGACCTGTATGAGAATATAAATCAGGATAATAAACCATCGGGCCACAATTTTATGTAAGAACTTCAGTGTAAAATTATTAACATTGTAGTAAATGTATCCCCGTAAAATTGTAAAAAAAAATCGAAAATTAATTGAACGGTCTCCATTGTTGATAAGGCATGTATGTTATAGCTGATATGAGAGTATTGATAAGATAATGTTATATGGATGACATTTTTGTTGTAAGAAAAATTGTGCATATACGATATAGAAAATAGAAGTAATATAGCAGTGTTTCTAGATTTCTTCAGGCAAAGACAAAGAAACCTTACGAGTTAAAAAAAACTGTATAATTTATCGAAAGTGTGTAAAACTATTACTGTAATAAATTTATAGTATGACAATTTTAGTTCTCTGGAATGATAATGCAGGAGTGGTATCGTGGGTGGCACCTGATAACGTGATGTTCACAGAGCTGTTCATGTAGGTTACTGCTTACCTTGACTTGTTTGCTAGCCAATTACAAAAAAGGTGACATACAAAAAAACTAACATATTTAATAAAGCGAGTTTCAAGGCGTTTGTGGCACCCGGCCAAATACTGCTGACTTTCATGAAAGAGGACTACTGGCCCAAGGGGGTGGTGTATCGGCGCTATCGTAGTTATTTTCCGTCGTCAGTTCCGTTACCACAAAGACGATTTATATTTATATTATTATTACATATATATGTTAGTATATAAGGTATTTATAATATGAGCAATTAGTAGCCTGAAATATAATAAATAATCAATAGAAATAGAAACAAGACTAAGATCTATAAAAAAGGTCATCAGGATAGCAAAAACCTCGAAGTTACCAGAGATAGACTTTGTATTAAGTCTTGTAAGTGCTCCGGATTTGCAACGTATTTGAGGGGTAATAGGGGCACTAAATGATAACAATACGTCCGTGAATAGTACGGCGTATTTGTACAATACATACACCTACATATACCATACTATACATACACCTACATATAACATAAAACCAGATACTATTGTAGTACTTACTATGGTAACAAAGGACTTATATTTTGCACACCACTACTAAAAAGTATTATATATGTATTATGTTATTCACAATACATTGTGACTTAATTTAGGCATTAGATTATATATATATATTTATATAAAAAACATACAAGAAATTAAGTGTGACCATTTTAGTTGGTGTAAGATAATATACTAATAAAATATTATAGTTCTTTTGTATAAGCAGATTGTATGAACGGTTTACTTACTGGAGCAAAGGGCGCTTAATAATACTGGCCACCAATAAAAACATGGGCCACTTAAATCGAGTTTAGACGAAAACTGCAATTGCAAATAAGAACTAGAAGAAAAAGGACGTCTTTTGACTGTTTTAAAACAAGAAAATCTCCTTCCTTTTCAAATTTTATTTCTTTCAGATTCGTAATCCAACAAAATTATATACAACTACAGCATATTTTTACTAGGCTGAAGTCTCACGATAGTTTCATCGAAGCCATTTTTATTTTATTTTTTGCATTATATAGGTAAAGTTTTTATAGGATGTAAATTCACAATATTATAACTATATGTACGTAAGTATTATTTTAATAAATAATATAATGTTATTACTTTTAGAACCATTTATACCTATGTTGATAATGCAATTTTGAATTATAATAAAGTTTATTTTCATTGAAGAGATGCATACACGAAAGTTAGAATGAAATAGTTTTTGCAAAAATTAAAAATTATTACTAATGCAATAATACCAACAAATCGTTTTTGGAATAATAATATCTCGCAATGAAATCAAGATCAATCAGTAATTTGTTTTCTTTAAAAATGGTTTATCTTCGTTTAATCGCAAAAGACATTTCTTAGACGGGATATATAATGAAATCTTCAAGAAAAGAGCATACATCTTTCACTAAACATTCGACAATACCTATCAACTCCTCTGGTGTTGCAGGTGCACAACGACGGCAATAATTTCTCATCATTAAGCATATATTATTAATCATCATACATCATTTAATGAACATAAACAAAATATACCAGTTCTTAACTAATTTTGCCAAAGTGGCAGAAAGCTATAATACATGGTAACACTGTTTTAATTGCCTACAAATGCGCGCGCTATCGCAAGTGGTTTTTATCTACGACTCTGTAGTTAGGTCTTTACAGTGTAAAAGAAGAGTTGTTATATACAACGTTTTAACTGTTTTTACCCCTATCATACTGTAAGACACGACTATGTAAGATATGTAACCGCCCGACCAGTGGTATAATGGACAGGTTTATAGGATAGAGTAGGCAGTAGGGCTTTTGTACGATAGGTCACAATACAACCATCAACATTTTAGACCACTCCGCATCCATATAAGGAACAAAAATATAATTTTACCTTTAGTACACCCATTTGGGTGTACTAAAGGTAAAATTATATTTTTGTATGTGTGTATTTACACACAAGTAAGAATCAGAAAATTATATTTTTGTATGTGTGTATTTACACACAAGTAAGAATCAGTCCACACTCAAGCATTGTGTATTCAATCAATCAAGTTAGAAAACAGTCCGGAACTTATCATTTATACATAATCTTAGCATTCAAATTGTTCTGACTGTGGACACACTGGATTCATACAACATTAATGGATTTTACTGCAATATTTGGAAACTATAAAAGAATCGTCTCTAGATTACTTTCCAAATATTGCAGTAAAATCCATTAATGTTGAATAGTAATGGGTTAGAATAGTATAGTAACTTACACTTATTTGTTCTATTGTCCTCGTGGTCATCATCTGGGAACAGATCCACCATTGGATCATCGCGCTTGTTCTCGCTCTGTCCACTGCGGCTGTTCTCAGACTCTTCAGTCACATCACTGTCATATTTCCTAAAAAAGAAAGTTTCATATTACTACTTACAGAATTACAAACCGCAGGCCAAAAGATGAGGTGAGATTGGTATAAACTTAAGGTTTAAAATTAAGTTATTAAAACATAAACAATAAATGTCCATTTCGTTTTACTGCAAACTAATATACATTGATATAAAATGTTTCGATTGCATATTTCTCATTTTTTATAACATGCTGATCTGTAGCAGCATGTTATAAAAAATGAGAAATATGCAATCGAAACATTTCATACCAATGTATATTTTAAAGTCAGCACTAGTTACTAGGTACATTGATTTTAGTAAAACGTAAACCCAATATTTTTCAACGATATTCTCAAAGTTCTGCTTATCACTATGTGCAGTTTCATTGTGACTATTCTACATAAGCATTATGTCAGAATGTATTAAAAATAGATCTTAGTAATTGTTTGCAAACACCACGTCAGTTTGAAAAAATTGCTTCGAGCATTTACAAACAACTTAATTTAGCTTCTCAAATGGATTATTAAACAATTAGACGAGTTTTAGACAGAAGATTTCGACGTTCATTATCAAAAGCATCTAAAGAGCTAACTAACTAGAAACTTTTTACATATAATCTTGTTTTTTGATGTTTCATAATACAAAAAATATTAGCTGTTTGTATAATTATATTAGCGTAAAAAGTGATTTTTACTGATATTTTAATTTTATTTAACAATAATAAATAATATAATAAATAATATATCTGGACTAAATTGTCCACAAATATCGACATTTCATCAAAAGCTAAGCAGATCTTGTGTTATGGAGTCAACTATGTAACGTGATAGAAAATCCTTAAATATTTTTTTGTAAATCAATATATTTTATACATAGCATTATTTATTACATTACAACAACAGGTTCGTGGAAACTGTCCGTGCGGCTGGGTCTAAGCACTTCAAAACCCGCCGCGCAGAAAGAACCGGAAAAATATCTATCTCTACCCTCAAATTGATGGATGAAAGGCGAAGTATGGTCCTGCAGTCTCCGACTGACGCTTCTCAGTATCGGCAACTTAGCAGGCAGATCTCTAAGTCCTTGACTCGTGACTTACGCCACTTTAACACAAATTGTGTAAAGGAGGCTATTGAGAGAAACAAGGGCCCAAAAGTCTTTAACAGGGATCTGGCTGCCCGACAGAGCCAGCTGACGCGACTTAAGACGGATGACAGCAGGATCGTTTCGTCTAAACCCGAACTTTTGAGGGAAATTGAGAAGTTCTATGGACAGTTATACACGACAACACGGGCACCTGTTAACAACACGGCGAAAGACCCTAGAGCCAAATTAACCCGACACTATACCGAAGATATCCCGGACGTCAGCCTGTACGAGATTGGTATGGCTCTTAAACAACTTAAAAACAACAAGGCGCCGGGCGATGATGGAGTTACTGCTGAGCTTCTGAGGGCTGGAGGTAGACCTGTTCTACGAATCCTCCAGAAGCTATTCAACTCCGTCATCCTCGAGGGCAAAACGCCTCAAGCATGGCAAAGGGGTGTGGTGGTTCTGTTCTTCAAGAAGGGAGACAAATCGCTTCTGAAGAATTTCAGACCGGTAACACTGCTGAGCCATGTTTATAAGTTGTTTTCGAGAGTCATCACGAATCGTCTCGCGCGCAGGTTTGACGACTTCCAGCCTCCCGAACAAGCCGGGTTCCGAAAAGGCTTCAGTACCATAGACCACATTCATACGCTGCGGCAGGTAATTCAGAAGACCGAAGAATACAACCTGCCACTTTGCTTGGCGTTTGTGGACTATGAAAAAGCCTTTGATTCGATCGAGACGTGGGCTGTGCTACAGTCTCTCCAGCGGTGCCAAATTGCCTATCGATATATCGAAGCGTTGAAATGTTTGTATGAAAACGCCACTATGTCAGTTCGCCTCCACGACCAGAATTCGAAGAATATCCAACTGCAGCGAGGTGTCAGACAAGGCGATGTCATATCGCCAAAGCTGCTTACCGCTGCGTTGGAAGATGCTTCAAGCTTCTGGACTGGAGCGGGCTGGGCATCAACATTAACGGCGAGTACATCAATCACCTTCGATTTGCCGACGATATCGTGGTCATGGCTGAGACCCTGGAAGACCTTAGCAAAATGCTCGAAGACCTCAGTAGAGTCTCACAAGGAGTAGGTCTTAAAATGAACATGGACAAGACGAAAATTATGTCAAACGTCCATGTCGTACCTGCTCCCGTAACAATCGGAGATTCTACACTCGAAATGTCGATCACTACGTATAGTTAGGGCAAACTATCCAGCTAGGTAGATCCAATTTCGAGAAAGAGGTCAATCGTCGAATCCAACTCGGATGGGCAGCGTTCGGGAAGCTCCGATATATCTTTTCGTCCAAATTTCCGCAGTGTCTCAAGGCGAAGGTTTACGACCAATATGTGTTGCCAGTGATGACTTGCGGAACAGAGACGTGGTCGCTAACTATGGGCCCCATCAACAAGCTCAGAGTCACTCAGAGGGCAATGGAGAGGGCTATGCTCGGAGTTTCTCTGCGTGATCGAATCAGAAATGAGGAGATCCGCAGAAGAACCAGAGTGACCGACATAGCCCGAAGAATTGCGACTTTGAAGTGGCAATGGGCAGGGCACATAGCTCGTAGGACAGATGGCCGTTGGGGCAGTAAAGTCCTCGAGTGGCGACCACGGACCGGAAGACGCAGCGTGGGAAGGCCTCCAGCAAGGTGGACCGACGATCTGGTCAAGATCGCGGGAAGGCATTGGATGCGAGCAGCGCAGGATCGATCGTCGTGGAGATCTTTGGGGGAGGCCTATGTCCAGCAGTGGACGTCTTCCGGGCTGCGATGATGATGATGATGATACATAGCATACACCAATACAATCATATTTATGAATACAAATGTTTGCAATCTGCGACCATCAAAGTAAGCAGTGTTCTAGTTAGTCGTTTCAATCAAATACTGTGAGTAGAGTTTAAGTTATTTTTTTTAATTTGATAGTTAATGCAAATGCTACGGGACTTCGCTTTCGAACGCTCTTAAATTGTTTACATAAAATTAATTGCTAAGTTTTACAGCTTAAAGCCATCCAAGAAATCAGAAAGTGGAGAAACCGCAATAAATTCATTATGTAGTTGTAACGTAATTAGAAAATACAGAGTTATGGCCGTCTTTCAACTAGTATAGCTTTTACAGCTATACTAACTGAAAAACGGCGAGGAAGCTCTGCTGAAGCTGTTAAAGTACTATGTTAATAATACATATTATAAACTCGAAAGTTTGTAAGTATGGATGTTTGTTACTCTTTTATACAAATACTAAAACTTTATTGTAATATAGCTGCATCGGAATAGCCCATAGGCTATATATTTTATTGAAATTTAACGCGGGTGGAACCACGGGCGCAGTAGTTATATATAATAATAATAACTAGCATTACACGCGACTTCGACCGCGTGGAAATTAACTTTATTTTTCTAAAATAAAAGTAGCCTAAGTTACTCCTTATTACATCAACTACCTGCCAAAAAAAAGTCCGTCATAATCGGTCCAGCCATTTCAGAGATTGTAGTTTCGTCGTGAGGTAAAAAAGAGATATAATTAGAAGCACTTTCACATATATTTCTATCAATAGAGGGCTGGTGTTATATGCGTTAATGTAATATACATATATATATGTTAATGGTTTTATACCCTTATTATTATTATTCTACCGTTTAAAAAAATATCATTTTTATTTAATTCTTTCCGATTACATACTAGTAGGTCTGTTTTAATTATTAATATATACTGCTATATATAACAATAATATAAGAACCTCTTTTATTTATATTGTGAAGGAGGGATCATGTGGGTTACATCCATAAATAAAAGGGTAGCAGACTGCAGACAATGGCGTTTTCAGCGACCGTACTAAAAATAAGGGTGCTTTTGCCTTTTAAAGGTTTTATAATATATTTTTTTAACAGGTTGTGATATGTATACAGATGTTTAATTCAAGTTTATCTAACAAACTTTTATATTAGACTTTGATCCCCTTGAGACCCGTTTTGATTTTGTGGAGATGAAAAGAAGTCGATCACACATGAGTGAAACTTTTAGGAGCATAAATAAGACTCACCATCAAACTATACTATAAAAAGTAATATCTAAATATATAAGTCGAGTCTTAATTTAAACATCATTACTGTAAATTACTAAAATATTTATATATAATATACCTATATGTAGTCTGGTTTGATTCCAAGAAACAACAAAACAAATCGATTTGCAAGTCAATGTAGCGCATAATGAATGAAAATTAATGTTACCATGTCATTCACTTGTTATATCATGGTCATGTTTCTTGATCGATATTAATGAACAATCAAATTATAAGAGCTTAATTAAATGATATTCAGGAAATAATTGTTGGGCAACTTCAAATATCTTCTCAAGAGGTTATTGCCTCGCGTGCAATTAATACTTCTGTGATAAAGGAACTAGGTCAATCTATTACATGTCCATAAATAGATTGCGTTTTACGTAACATTTTAATGCTTGTTGATCTTATAAACGCGTGTGTTTTTGTATACTTATCTTTTTGTTCAAATAATCGTTTATATTACATTTACAGTATTTAAAATGGGGTAGTGCTTCATCTCGGCCAATTAATATGTATGTAGAAGTCGCAGGTAAAACCTAGTATAAATAGTGCACTTGTACTATATTGAGTCATTTTAGAAATAGTAACTTTATGATTTTTTTTTCCTTTGTGGCGTATCTAATATTTTACTGGAATTAGGCGACAAACAATATCTTTTCAATAGAAAGGATTTATTAGGAATTTATATATATAAATATTTATAAACGTGATTTATTAGGAATTTAATTGAGGACATTAATATCAGAGAACCTTACACTGTTCATATCACTTGAATATTATCAATAACTAAAAAATAAATCGGCTGCTAGATAAATACTAGTTTTGATAAAAGCTAATTACAAATTTGATTGAAAAGGGTAGCCAGGATAGAAGACAGATGAAATTGAAAGACTTTTACCAAGAAAAAGTCTATACGAAATATTATTTGTTTAATTTCATGAATACTGTGACTGTCTGATTGGCATACCCTGTATAAGATTACTAATTCTGTATAAGATATTGTGATAGAGAATACTTAATGTATGGTACTTATAGTTTCTGGAGAGGGCCTAGAAATAATAAAAAAAATAAAGAGTAGCCTATTCTTAAACCTACCAAAATACACTCAAATTTTATAAAAGTAGGTTAAGACTATTGGGAGAAATATCGATAACAAGTACTGTGACACGAGATTTTTATGTATTATTTATATATTTTATATATTATATATATATTTTATATATTATATATATATTTTTATTTATATTAATAACATTAGTTGACAATTTTTATTTATTTCTTGGTTTATTACAACATTATTTTTATATAAAGAAATATTACGTACAAAATAAACAACAATAGATGGATTTATCAGTGTCTTTACTCTAGCTGCTATAAATTTAAAATTGAGATTCTGACTGATAATAATGAATATAATCTATATTAATCGATTCATTATTATTTTAATCACAAAGTCTAATTTTTACGTTTGTATTAGGTAAGGTAAATGTGTACATTATATTCTAATAAAATGTATCAGCCTAATAACAAGATAATAAATTTGTAATTATATAATTAAGACATTTATCAAGAAACATACTACGCTATAGTACCGTATTCGTGTTTTGCACATTAATCTTTTAAATCGGTATGAATGAAAATAAAAAATATGTGTTGTCTAAGGATTAAACAGTCAAATCAATCTAAATTTCTTTAATGCCGGAATGCTTCATTTAGGGGATTTTGTGTCCATTGCGGAAAATTTCGGAACAAACATGGTTTGTATGGGTAAAATAAAGATGGAAATACGGGGGGCTTATGACACGTCTATGTACATCTAAAAAACTAAGAACACAAGATAAAATTAGTAAAAGCTGCGTAAGACGCGGTCAAAATTAAAAAAAAAAGCCATAGAATTATAAAAAAGCAACAAGAGCTTTTGTAGATCTAGTGGGCCTAAAAAAAAGGTCAGTAGATACAAATACTTCTACATTGAGAAGACTTATCTTGAAAACCTGAATTTTTATTTTAGTACAAAATTGGGGGAAATACTAGACAAACGTCTGGAAATTTTTATTAGAACCAAGATTAGTCAAATGCACCGTCAGCACAACATACGTTATAATAAAATATTTCTAATGTGCAGCAGAAATGCAGCGTTTTGCATCTGGTTAAAATTTAGCATAACATAAACATTTGACTAACCGTATGGAAGCCATGAAGTCGAGATGTTTATTCTCCTCTTCAAGCTGAGCGACGCGTTGTTCAGAAGCTTGGAGGCGCTGCTGTGCCGCTGCCAGCTCATCACGGAGCCAAGCGTTCTCCTGACACAGCCTGCGGACTTGAGTACGCAGCTTCTGTTTTTCCGCTTCAACCAGCTGAAGGTGGGAAGCTAAGGTCATCATAACCTGAAAATAATTACCAAAATTGATCATTACAAAAGGCCATCACATAATACGTCCTGTCCGTTTCGGGCTAGGCAATCCGTTTCCGTATTTAGGCTCACTATCCAGGTTTTCAGGTATCCTGCCTGGTTTATACTCAGCTAGCCAAAGCCTAATTTCATGAATTATTTCATATCACGGTCACTAAATTTTCCATAATACGGCTACCTTAACAATTATAGAAGTTTTCAACCGAGATCGCCGCATTGACTTGTTGCTGGCTGCTGGTTCGCAGGCCATTTGTAATTCAGTCAGAATGTTTTTTTTATTCTGACTGGATCTTATCTGTCTGCTTAATATATTCTATTTAACATTACACCATAACCTGAAGTTTAACAGCAAATGAAACGCTAAGTAATAACGAAGTTATAGCTCGGGCGTCCTAATTATTTTACATTAAACTGGATGAAATCGCAAAACAAAGTACTTCTCCTATACTAGTAGTTCCTACCAATAATAATGAACGAGGATAGATTTGCGACGATAGACGGCGACATGTTTATTATTGCTTCACACCAAAACTACTCGACGATTCAAAATTAGGCACACGGATAGATCAAATTCTAGATTAACATTTTACCCTTTTTCGGGCAATACCGCGGGGTAAAACTAGTTATTTATTATACATAAATTAATATGAATATAACGATTACTTTTCTACGTCTACCTGATGATGTATTTGAATTGGTCGTTCACACATCCATGTCAAAGACTACAAACATCAACACATTGGACTAAGAAACGACTAGAAAGTACTATGAGAATATTTTTATACACAAAACAAAGAGTGTTTTTGACTGAGACATTTATAGTACCAGTGGTGAAAATTACACCATAATAAAAAATACAAAAATATCTTTCAACTAGAAATAACAATTCAACTATTATATATTGCGTTATAGTATCAATACGTGTGTCTGTCAAATCATGGTACTGTATGTAATGTTTATTTTATTGAATTTATTAATGTATTTTATAAATAATTTTTAAAATATATGTGCATTCTTCACTTTTCTATATAAACTATAGGTGTACGAAATTTTATACTCATCTGTCCGCACAATTTTCGCCAAAAAGGACACACAGTTTTTGTTTCACGTATTAATATATAGATAATCGAATCCTGAGAAATATAATAGAAACCACATTATTATATTTACCTGTAGCAAGTTACCTGGTGAGTTTATAACTCACCAGTTTAATGTCTAACAATTGTTTACATCGATATAGATTGAGGCAAATTAGAATGTATTTTGAATGAAATTCGAGTTTCTACAAGTGTTGTCTAACATGATTATTTTATTTTGTTGCTCAGTAATGTAGATACAGTCAACATTGAAAAATGTGTTTGTTTTATAAATGGAAATACTAACTATTCATTATCTCTCTCTATAGTCAGAACTCTAGTAATAATAATGGCTGTTTCGTTTTAAGTGTAAAAATATATTCATAGTATTTTTACTCGTTCTCTTCGTATTATGTTGATGTTTGTTTGATAAATTTTTAATATGAACATTGGTACGTCAAATTCCAATACAAAAACAATAACGCAAAATTGTATTCGATGACGTTAGCTTTCAAATAAAAAAAAGCATCATAGTCGGTCCAATTATTTAGGAGCTACGATGCCACAGACAAATAATCAGACAAGTCAAAACATAAGCAGTCCTCTTTTTGTGTCTGAGGTTGAAAATAAAAAAAATGTATAAAACCTGTGCAAAACATTTTTTGCTAAATGAAAAATACGCAAACACTCCAACGATTTAAAGCAAACATGGGGGAGAGTTAATAAAGGAGATGACGCACTACGTAACGAGACATGGCGACAGTAGAGTATATTTATCATATGTAGAGGTGCTCTCAATAGAGGGGAGATTATATTGTGGTTTCCTTTGTCCACCTTTGTACATTATGTTAACCTTTCCACATTATTTATCCACACTAATACTCTATAATATAGCGAGTGTCTACTTTTTCTTATCTATTCAATACTAAACAGATCTTCATGAAAAAATCAAGATAGGCTATCTTTCATCTCAAAAAAGCACATGAAGCCGCGCGTAACATCTAGTAACATATACCAATAAGAAGATCAAGGTTTAACGGTACTTAAGTCTTATGCGTGGTTGCAATGTAATTAGAGAGATAAATAATAATAATTGTAATTTAGATTCTAAAACAATGCTACCGTAACTTTTAGTATATGTTCCTAAAAAAATCTTTACAATTAATTTCAAAATTGGTTAAGAGTACATGTTTATTGTATTCTCATTTAAATCAATATATAAACCTGACAAACTTTTTTTCGCAATATTCTTTAAGAATAATAAGAGACTTAAATATTTTTACATTTATTTAGGATCCCCAACAATTGTTAAACTAATACATATTTGATTATTTAAATTTTCAACTATGATTTATGGGGCCTAAAAGAACGAGGTATGAACTGTATAAGAAAAATCGTAATTGCGTGGGTGGATGGGTGATGCAATGCAAAGATCAAGATTGACCGCCATTCCTTTTAAACTAAACAGCAGGTAAAACCGCGAGGCACTATTGGTACATCAACGAGCTAAAATACCAAGTCTCCGCTATCACACTATCCCTAGAGGCTATTTGTGAAATGAAGGTGACCTAAATGATGCTTCTAAGGGAAGTCCTTAAAGGCTTGAATGTGGGACAAACTGACACCTTTAGGGCTCTCATTTTGGTACAGAGAGCGCTTCAAGAAGATAAAGATTTTTCGATCTAAGACAGCATTTATTATTTTTCAGCACATTTGCAGTTTACTTTTATGACTACCTCGACCTCTTTTTAACCGACATCAGGAAAAGAATAAGGTTTTTAATTCCGCTGTACAGTTCTTTATGTTTTGTAATATCAGAAGTCTGTCATTAGAAAAACTATTGGAAGGAGATTGGAATAATAGAAAATTTTTCGTGAAAATAATGTGTCATTCATTAGTCACTACGGTCATGAGAATACTTCCAATGAACTTCTTACCTTCCGAGTTTATCATCATTAATGATTATGATGATATCGTTTTAAAATCACTAGTATCCTGACGACTTAGGCGTAATGCTGGTTAGTCAGGGAGAGAAACACCTCAATCCTACAATATTCACAATTATCTATCTCTTATTTGTTTTTATAATAATATCAACACTTTCGCTCCAAAACTCCCGCTGCCTCCGTTCAATCGTCCGTCATCCACTTGTCAATGTCACATAGATTACTTTGGCTCTGGCCTCTGACGTTCCGTTTCAGGTTACATGATTATTGACTTTACCATTTTTAATTAATGGTGCGTCACACGATAGTTAACAGTCGGCCATCCTGCAATAGTGTCTGGCCCAGACACATAGGTAACTGATGAGCGTAGTCATGCTTATCAAAGGATATAGTGTCTACAGGATCATATAACAAATACTTTACTAAATAAACTAAAGATACACATTACTTTCATAACATTGACTATCTTAGTATACTGTCAAAGGTTTACAATCTAAAATCAATACTAACAGAGCTAAGTTTCGGCATGCATTCAGAATGCACAAAATATAACATAACATATATTAATTTACATAATCCAAATCACCCAAAAACATGAACAACCTTTTAGAGTAACAAACAATTATTTGGCGGTGATTGACTTCTATGAGTCAGACTGTAACATATCACCATCACAATGTAAGTTTCCGATCTTATGAACATTGCATTTTTTTTTTATACCTCCAAAATAGAACTTGACATTTCTCATCTTGAATATTTTAACGGATAAATTTAACATATCACATTACAAAAGGTAAAACTTAATTACCTACATATATAGAGAAAAAAATATAAAGAGAAAGTATTATTCTCGTGACATAAAATTAGAACAAAATCGCTGCCTGCCTTCACCTCACCAATAGAAAATAACAGGTCAATATTATTCAAGTGGTTCTAATACCCTCAATACTACTACTACTATTTTACTTCGACGATACTCTTGATTTACCAGAGAATTATTTTAATATAACATAATTCATTGAATTTCAGTTATGATTTACTTAACAATACCATCAGCTCACTGGTCAAGTAATCTATTGCACCCTTTGAACCCTGTACATTTAGGGAACTATAAATGATTGTAGATACTGATCTCAATTTTCTTTACAACACCAGTTTAACATAAACCAAAACCCACTGTTCCAGATTAATGTGAAATAGAAATAATCTTTATTCAAACAAACTTAATATAAGCACTTTTGAGTAGTCAAGATTTTTGAATCTATCGCTTATTCAGAACGCAGATTCATCACAAGAAGAATAAACAAGAAACCTGTGTGTTGCTCTTTTAAATAAATATTGATTTACTTATATTTAATTAACAACAAGGATTAGGCGTGCGGCAATCAACATAAAAACCGCTACGCACTTAATCTCAGTTCAATCAGACAACATTGACAGCGCTATGAATTTCAAGTTAGATATTTTCTAAAAAAAAACACTGATTTATAAATGATGACATTTATAAATTTTTCAATTTTATAATAAGTTTTTTTTTTTTTAAAGAAAATATTTTATGACACATTTGATTTCTTTTTCTGGCAAATTGAGTACAGACTCTGGGAGTTTGTTGTAAAACCTTGCGCAATTTCCATAAAACGAATTACTAACTTTCGTCAAACGAACGTGAGTTTAGTAAGCCTACTATTCACTTTATATTTAATCGATGGTATTCGTAGCCACTTCGGCCATCCAACGTTATCGAAGGGCCTCATTCGATATTATCATAACAGTTAACATCGGGTAATATAATAAAATTAAAATCATATAAAATTTAGTTTGAGATACTTTACATACTTAAAATATGAAAGTTGCCACTGACAACTACACATTACATTTCAACATCATGAATTCAGTCTTTGTTATATTTTTCCGCCTTAAGTTGTATCACTTAATTTTTCACACCAGGTACT